GTCATGCCTAGGAAAACGATAGGATGGATAATGAGAACCTTCAAAACTAGGGACGCCAAGCCTATGATGATTCTCTTCAAATCGCTTGTGCTCACTAGGCTGGAATACTGCTGTACACTAATGGCCCCCTTCAAGGCTGGCGACATTGCAGACCTGGAGAGTGTACAAAGAACTTTCACGGCACACACAAATGCGATAAGGCACCTAAACTACTGGGAACGGTTGAAGGTGCTTGATCTGTATTCCCCTGAATGCAGGCAAGAGAGATACATGATAATATACACTTGGAAGATCCTGGAGGGAGTGGTACCAAACCTGCACACAAAAATCACCCCACATGAAAACAAAAGACTCGGCAGGAGATACCACATTCCCCCGATGAAAAGCAGGGGTGCCACTAGTACAATGAGACAACACAATAAGTGTCCAGGGCCCAAGATGGTTCAATTGCCTCCCAGCATACATAAGGGGGATTACAAATAGACCCCTGGTTGTCTTCATGAAGGCACTGGACAGGCACCTAAAGTCAGTACCTGACCAACCGGGCTGTGGTTCGTATGTCAGCTTGCATGCGGCCAACAGTAACAGCCTGGTTGATCAGACCATGAGGCCTGATCTCAGACCGGGCCGCGGGGGCATTGATCCCCAAAACCCCCTCCAGGTAAACTCCAGGTGCCTGGAATTCCACGGGAACAGATTACTGTAATTTAATTTCAATTAATTTAAATGAGGAAAACTGACTCTGCATGTGAGCAAATCCAGATGCGAGCAATGTCACGGAATGGATTAAACTCGTAAGTAGAGATTCCACTTCATTGTATAAAACCATAATAGAGAATGAAAAGAAATAAAGTGGGTATTGTATGTATACTACAGTACACACTTATCTTGTAGGAGATGCTAGCAGAGGTTTAGGGTGGCGGAAGACGGTGTAGGGCGGCGGTATGTTGTCATTAGCCCTTTAAACCTCCAACAACATTGGAGGAGTTAGTTTCGTGTCGTCCTTTTTCTCTCGCTTAACCCTTTCAGGGTTTTCGATGTACTAGTATGGCTTATGCACCAGGGTTATTGACGTACTAGTACGCCTAAATTCTAGCGCCTTCAAATCTAGCGAGAGAAAGCTGGTAGGCCTACATATGAAAGAATAGGTCTATGTGGTGAGTGTGCACAGTATAAAAAAATCCTGCAGCCCACAGTGAGTAATGAGAGAAAAAAAAAAACTTTGACAGTGTTTTTGGATTAAAACTGTAAATACTGAATTACAGAAAATATCAACCTGGATGAGAACCAATAAACTTACTCTAAACATTGACAAAACCTACTACATTCAGTTTGGTAACAGAGCTGCAGAAGTGTCTCTTAACATAATGATAAATGGATCACCTATCACAAAACTCACAGAGGGAAAATTCCTAGGAATCCACCTTGGTAATAGACTCAAATTTCAAACACATATACAACAAATTTCCAAAAAAATTTCCAAGACCGTAGGCATACTATCAAAGTTACGGTACTCTGTTCCACAGTCAGCCCTCCTGGCCCTATATCACTCACTCATTTACCCCTATCTCACCTATGGAATTTGTGCATGGGGTTCAACAACAATAAACCATCTTAGACCACTAATCACCCAACAAAAGGATGCAGTCAGAATGATAACAAATTCCCACTACAGACAGCACACTCCACCAATATTCAAAGCTCGAAACCTACTCACAATACAAAACATCCATACTTATTACTGCACCAACTACATACATAGAACACTTAACTCTGACATAAATCCTCCCCTCAAACATCTCCTTACCAACCTCAACAGAGCACATGACCATAACACAAGACACAGATCACTCTTTGATGTTCCTCGTGTCCATCGCATGCTTTGCAAAAACTCAATGCACATAAAAGGCCCTAGAATCTGGAATTCATTATCTGTGAATATAAAAGAAACACTGTCTGTTTATAAATTCAAGTCTCTTCTCAAAAATCACTTACTCACCCACAACTAAATAAATACTGAATAATTGTATCTCATATATGTCTCATTATTGTATCTCATAAATGTCAACCTGTGACCCAATCAAACTTTGTTACTATTTAACTTCAATACCTAGCAGAATACTCCATTCTACTGATTACACAGCAACACAGTAAATGACCATATGGCATGCCTTTGTAATACTCATTTATACTAAATTGCTATCTGTTTTACAATAATTTTGTACCACTGAATATATCATTGCTTAGTTAATCTTAAGTTAATTTTAAGCTTGCCCATAATGCTCTGCATTCAAGGGGCTTTGGCGTGCTGCACTTTAAAAATTGCATTCCTTGTACTTCTCTGTATCATGTTCAAATTAAATAAATAAATAAATAATAAATAAATAAATACTGATTGTACAGCAATGCAAGCAACCATACGACCTGTTTTTGTAATACTCATTTGTGCTTAATTGTTATCTGTTTACAATAATGTTTTACCACTGAATACTTCATTGCTTAGTTAATCTTAAGTTAATTTTAAGCCTGCCCATAATGCTATGCATTCAAGTGGCTTTGGCATGCTGCATTTAACTGTATTCTTTTGTACTTCTCTGTATCATGTTCAAATTAATAAATAAATAAATAAATAAAACAGCGACTTTGCACTGTATTTTCGTATGCTATTTATGGTTGTATTCTAGTTTTCCTGGTCTCATTTTATAGAATGGAAGACATATTACAGAAATTGAGATGATTTTGATTGGTTTTACAATGAAAAGTACCTTGAAATTGAGCTCAAAGTAGCAGAAAAGTTCGATTTTTACCAAAGTTCAAAAGTGCACAAATCATGCCAAGCGTCCAATACACGTCAACTGGCGAGTCTAATATTCTTTCACAAGTGCGCTGATATTATTTATACCATTTCTACACTAATGCAGTAGTCTGCATAACAGTAAATCTTCTATTTTTTGTGAGAATAAAAATTCAAAGTGGAAAGCAAAAGAAATATAAGAGGGGCGTGGGGATGTGAATAACGAAGAGAGAACTTGTTATTTTTGTGCCAGGAATGTGTTTCTTGTTTATTCTGGACCCTATTTGGAAACTGGCATCTGAAATTTGTGTGAAATTGGCAAAATTGCCAATTTCTAACCACTTTACTGGATAGCTTAAATTGGTAAATGGGTGGTTTCTTGTACTCATTCGATAGAAAAAATGGAGTTCTAGCAAAACAAATATGACTTTTGTCGGCTAGTACACAGGAATTGGCCGAAAATAGGGCTCAAAGTGGGCGGAATCGCCGATGTGTAAACATCGGCAAAACCACTAACTTCGCAAGAGCATAATTCCATAAGTTTTCCATCAAATTTCGTACTTTTGGTGTCATTATGATCGGGAAAAAATTCTCTATCATTTCCTAAGAAAAAATAATTTTTTTTTTCCAAAAAATTTTCGACCCTGAGAACAAGTTTAGGAGAGGGCCTCTTGACCCTGAGAGGGTTAATCACTTAACTTACTTGCTACACTCTTAATGCTACACTCCATCACTGGCTGGCGCTATAGCCTTTATCGACTCCTGCTGCTTTAGTATAGTACATATAGAATCACCGATTCATTGAAGAATTCTATCATGTTTCTCGCCTTCTTTATCAAAGGGCTGGCACTCTGAACCTTCTTTGGCCCCATGGTGGCTTATTTAGCAGTCGAAAGCACAAAAAACAATGGATTATTACGAAATGTTATGGATGAATGCATAATGTTTACTCAACAGCTAACAAGGGCAGACTGAGCGATCATGTCCCGCCGGTAGGCGGACGCATTTGATACGGATGATTTCTAAGTGGAGGTACGAAACCCAGGGTAAAATTTTGACCCAAAAAATGTGGTCAAAATCCTAATTTTATGATACCTGCAGCAGACAAAAACTCGGGTACCACTGTACTCATGTACTCTTTACCCAGGTAGATCTGTTTGCGACTTATAAAGCCCACTGTGTCAGCAAAACATAGTCAATAAAGGATCGCATCATATCGCACTTGTGTGTATTTTTCCATCATGTCAGTATTTTATAGCAATTATTTCCACGCTTGCTGGGATCAAATCATGGACACTCAGCGCGTGAAGCAAAGGTTTTGAGGTGGTTAGTACCTCAGTCTGGAAGACATAGTTTAGAAGTGGTCAGTCCTTCAGCCTGGAAGACAGTTTTGAGGTGGTCAGTCCCTTAGTCTGGAAGACATAGTTTAGAAGTGGTCAGTCCTTCAGCCTGGAAGACAGTTTTGAGGTGGTCAGTCCCACAGTCTGGAAGACAGTTCTGTGGAGTTCAGTCCCTCAGTCTGGAAGACAGTTTTGAGGAGCTCAGTCCATCTGTCTGGAAGACAGTTCAGAGGTGGTCAGTCCCTCAGCCTGGAAAACATAGTTTGGAGGTGGTCAGTCCCCCAGCCTGGAAAACATAGTTTTGAGGTGGTCAGTCCCTCAGCCTCCAGGCTGCTGCCTCCTCTGTATTCCACTGAAGAAGGCCACATACCTAACCGCTGCACATGTTTCTAAATTATCGGTATTTAAAATGTTATATTCACGTTGTGAATTATTATAATTAAGGGAAAATGCTAAACCCGTAGGATTATACAGGGCCTGTGGGGGGATGTGGAAGGTATTCAGGCTTAATTCAGGAAACTGGAGTACAGATCCAATTCCCTAGATCAAGAGCCCCTCACCAGCATCAAGGAACTTTCCTTGAGGAGTCACGTTGTAAAGAGACTGAAGAAGGTTGAGAAAATAGCGGTGCTCGACCCCTTCAATTGCTCTCTTATTTTTTGCTGTAAAACTCTATTAACATTATTATAATTATTATTATCATTACCTACAAACCCGCGGTAAACCCGTATGGGCCACCCAGCGGCGACAAAAGTGATAAAACAGCTTCAATATACGAGAACAAGTGTGGAGATCAACACCTGCAAGACCCGTCACTTCTTACGCTAGTATCTCCACTAATACACCTCAAATACGTCTCCAAATACCTGTGGCTTCTTCAGACTTATTCTTGGATGATGTCTCCATCTCCTTCCCTCAAAAATGACACCAAAAGCCGTAATAAACCAGAAAAATAACTGCCAGGTGAATCCTATTCAGTTTCAGACTTCTTTCTTTCTTTCTTTGTTGGGTTTATAAGGGCCACTGACAGCACAAGCTGTATCGAGCCCGACTTCCCGATGTTCGGGGAAGATTTGTTGCCAACAAAAGTTCCTTTGTAAACAGAGACAGAAACTTTAAGTTTCCAATTAGATCCAGTGGACCACCTTGCCAACCCCGGCAGAGAGGGGGGGCAATTTACTCTCCACCTTATTTTCAGTAACCGGCTTCCCACCAAAGACCGTAAAAAAAATTAAACCCAGAGGGGAAAACAATGGAGCGGCTAAAAGTAAGCATAAAAACATATTAAAAAACCCCTCCTGTAGAGTCCCCCCGGGGGGCCCAGAAAATAGATAGGGCAAGGGGCCCAAAAGAAGAAACGGTTTGGGAATTTTTTTCCCCTTGATAACACGGGCGGAAAAACAGACGTCCACATCGACGAAGGCCCCTGGAGCAAAAGGGTCTCCCCAGTTTCAGACTGGTTGGTGGTGTTTTTGGCTGGGGTTTTAGGGCCACTCACAACAAATTTGCCGTATCAAACCCCGGCCCCCCAAAAGGCCCCCCGGAAAAAAAAACCTCGACCAAAGGAGATTTACTATACCTTCCTTAAATAAACAAAATTTCAAATTTTTAATGGTAAACTATTACCTAATTTTTGTCTCTCACTCTCTTTTCCCAATCTTTGAAACTTGGATTAGGTGTAAAAAACCTTGTTGTATTTATTTGTTTTTTTTTTATCACATTAATTTAACCCCCAAACAAGAAGCCCTCTAAAGTATATTTAGTGAGGTTTTTTTTATCGAAATTAAGTAGTAGTAATCTGAGTTAAGTAAAATTTGGGGAAGGGTGTTCTTTTAATTTGCCCCCTTGTGTCATTTTGTTTATTTCAGCTTTGATTTTATAGTAAATTTTGCTTTTAAACATAAGCTAAAAAATTAAGGTAAAGCGAGGGAATTCTTGCGTTGGGGAGTCTTCCCACCGATACTAAAACTCCCCAAAAAATGGCAACTGTCATAGAGAAAATATTTCAGCAGGTGGGAAAATTTTTTGGATGATAGTTTCCAGCCCTTTTTAAAACTAAACAAAGGAAAAAGTGAAAAGGGTAGAGCGCCGCCCAAGAACTAACTTGACTCGTAGGTAATTTTAAAACTAAACTTTCCCTTTGTTGCACAAAGGCTGCAAAAATTTCCCTTTTTTTAAAGGGGGAAAAAAGGAAGGGTTTTTAAGCTGAACTTCCCTGAAAAAACACCCGCTCCCTTGCTTGTGTCCCATGGTAATAGAAGCAGAAAAGAAAAACCCAAGGTTGGGATCCAATTCAGAAATAGCTCTCAAACCTTTGTGTTTGTAGAACAGAATGAAGAACTGATCAATGATCTATTTTAATAAAACCCTAGGGGGGATATTAACCCCTGCTTCGTCCTCCATAGATACTGACCTTTTTTAACAAAGGGGGTCAGTACCCAAAATTTTTTTGGATACCCTCTCACTTGGTTTAAAACCCCCAACAACCCTTTAAAATACTTAAAGGAAGCCCCAAATTTTATTGCCATTTGGGGGGCCTCGGGCCCCTTTCCCCGAAATACCCCTGGGTGCCTTGGCCTACGTTTTCCTCCCCAAAAAGAAGTGTAACCCCTACCCCCTCAGGCATTTTAACACCTGGGTGTTACAAATCCCCAAAGTAGACTGGGAATATTTCATTCTTGGTGTAGAAAATGTGCGGGGAAAAACATTCCGCAAGAAAAAGGGCAAAAGGGAGGCCTTGATCCCCAAAAATTTAAGTTATTAACTATAAAGAAGTTGGGGTTACAGTTTACTAAAAAGGACTGCAGTCGGAACCCAAAAAACAGCCCCCGACGTAAATCTAAATAACGGGTTTTTTAAATGGCACCCTAAAGATGGGGCCATCCATTTCTACCACAGCAAGATCTGAAAACTTGAACCTTGAAAAGTGGGGGAAAGAGCCCAACCTCACTCCCAAAGGTTTCTGGTGATACCAAAAGGGCCAAATCACCACACCATTTTGTGGAGGAGGCTACCCACCCTGCAGCACATTGGAATACGATCTGCCTCTACCCATACCTGAGCCAAACACCCGTATATGGGGATCATAAGTAAACTTTTTCCCAAATTTACAAAACACTACAAACACCCGACGGCCCCACGAAGAAAACCCTCTGGAAGCGGGAGATTTGGTTAGATGCCCAGGGACCTACCTAAAATTTGAATGATGAGGCAGTTTTTGGCCACGGGGCCCCCATCATTTTGTTTTAGCTTTTTTATGTTTATTATGCCCCCCATCCCCCCTGTGGGGGGGAAAGCCCAAAAAAATTACAGAGGAAACTTTAATTTTGGCCCGGGGGACTGGACTCCAAATTTTTGATAGGAGCAAGTTACAGAGGAATGAACTACCAAATTTTTAAAAAAGGAAAATGAACTCCAGGTAGGCCCTGGTCAAAAAAACATGACAAGTTAAAAAGGGAAAATTTAAAAGATTACAGAGATACGTAATGGGTCCGGGGAAGGGGCCCCCAAAAAGTTTTGATAGCTAAAACTGGGTTTCAAAGGAATAAAACCCCAAAAGGGTAAAAAAGGTAAGGGAATTTTGTAAAAAATGTTTTACTTACGTTTTTTACATGGTTAAAAATCATGAAAAAATTAAAGGGTAATAACCCAATTAAAAATTCCACACCCCGGACAACTGTAATGAGTTATAGGTGCAAATGTTGATTTTGAGTCCCACACAACACACACACACACAAAACACCCACCACAACACACAACACCACACACACACACAAAACACAAAACCAACAAAGGTTTTTACATTAATTGGAAAGCTTGGGGGGGAATTTTAAAAAAAACCCCCTAATTTTTACCCAAAATTTTTATTTAAGCCATTTATGAATTACCAAATAAAAATTTCCCAACACCCCAAACACCCCCCACCAAAAAAACCCACACCCCCACACAAAAACACAAATTTTTTTTTAAAAAAAAACAAAAAAACCCAAACAAAAAAAAAAAAAAAACCAAAAAAAAAAAAAAACAAAAAAAAAAATAAAAAAAAACAAAAAAAAAAAAAAAAAAACAAAAAAAAATAAAAAAAAAAAAAAACAACAAAAAAAAATTAACATAAAATAACAAATAAAAAAAAAAAAAAAAAAAACAACAAAAGGAAAAGAGAAGAAGAAAGAAAAAACAAAAGGGGAAAAAGCCGGAAATGAAAATGTTTTCCCCCCCCCCCCAAAATTTTAAAAAACCCAAAAAAAAAAAAAAGGGAAAATTTTTAAAATTTCCCCCCCCCAGAAAAAGGGGCCCCCCCCCGGCCCAATTTAATTTTTCCCCCCCCCCTTTTTAGAAATTTTTTTTTTTTTTTAAGAAAAACCCCCCCAAACCCCCAATTCCCCCCCAAATTTTTTTTCCCAACCCCCCAAAAAAAAAGAACCCCCCCAAAAACCCCCCCCCCCCCAACCCCCCCCAGCTTCCCCTCCCCCTCTCCTCCTCTTTCTCTCTCCCCCCTCTCCCCCCTCTCTCCTCCCCCACCCCCCCATTCTTCTCCTTTTTTCCCCTTTTTTTTAAATCTCCCCCTCCCCTTTCCCCTTCTCTCTTTTTCCCCCCTTCACACTCTCTCCCCCCCCCCTTTCCCCTTTCTCATTTCTTCCCCCCCCTCTCTCTCCCTTCTACTTTTCCCCTTCTTTTTCCTCAAAAAAAAAAAAAAAAATTGTGGGCACTCGCAGGAACCAAAAGGATCAGAGGAAATGGTTTGGTGGGGAAAGGAGTGGATGGAGGAGCAGGGGAAAAAGGGATGGAACAAAGGGGGGGAAAAAATTGGGAAAAGCTTTCTGAAAAAAAGGAGAAAACTCTTGTAAAATTTTAAAAAAAAGGGGTTGGAGAAGGAGCCCAAAAATTTGGGGGGGCACAAGTCGAAACTGAAAGTACCCCAAGAAAAGGGGTTTCCTAAAAAGTTGATATAAATGGGCCCTTGAAGCATTTTAAGGGGCGGGGACCAAGAAAGACACGCATTTTTGAAGCTGCGAGGCCCGGGGCCCCCCAGGAAGGAAGGAATTATGAATTATGCTAAGGTCATATCAGCCTCCCAAAGGGGAAGGACCAAGGAGTAAAAGGGGAAAAAAAACAGTTTGGTTGCAATGGAAGGGGGGAAGGGGTCGAATGCGGAGGCAAAAACCCTGCTTCAAGAGCCACGGGAAAAAAATCAAGGGAAAACTGCCCCACATACGGGCCCAGGACCCAGAGCCCACAAGGGGAGGCAATGGGAGGAGGAAAGGGCAAAATCTTTTTGTTTATCCATGGGCTTCGGAAATGAAGGGGAAAGGGACACCACTAAAAAGGCACCCAGGTAAAAGAAAGGATATTGAGAAAATAAATAAACGGAAATAGATAAAAGAAAAATGGACGAGATTTTTAAATTTTCAGAAAATTTGGGGGGGGAAATTAAAGGGGAAAAACCGCCCCAAAATCAAGCTGATTCTCAGGACAAAACAGTGGGGAACAGGATCCTCCAAGAAAAACCATGATTGAAATCCCTGGGAAAGAGTACAAGGGGATGTTCCTAGACAGAGAAAAGAAAAAAATTCAGAACGAAGAAACCCCGAGGGAGAGGAAAAAAAAAGCAAAAAGGAGAAAAGAAACCAAAGGGAATCAGATGGAAGGGTTTGGTAGGGGGGAAAGGGGAAATGGGGGGGCAGTGGAAAAGGATGGAACAAGAGGGGGAGAGAAAATTAGGAGAGCTTTCTAAAAAAAATGGAGAAAAAGGGGCTTCTTTTAAATTGGAAAAGGGGTTGGAAAAAAGGGAGACAAAAAATTTGGGGGAGGCAAAAGGGTTTAAAAACTGCAGTACCAAGATAAGGCCTAGAAGTTGATATAAAATGGGCCCAAAGCGAGTTAAGGGAAAAGTGACCAGAAAAGACCACAGATGTGAAGCTGCGGGGCCGAACGGGAAAGGAAGGAATTATAAATTATGCTAAGGTCTATCACCCTTTCCCAAAGGGAGGACCAAGGGAAAGGGAAAAGGGAAGAACAGCCGGGTTGCAGAG